GAGAGATCCGACGAAGACATCCAGTAAGCAAAATGTGGCCCGGGAATGGAATTCTGGGAGCTCGAAGAAAACGAAGTGGCCTACAGTTGGCTCCGGACATCCAAAATGTGGCCCGGGAGTGAAGTTCTGGGAACTCGAAGGCCACGAAGTGGCCTACAGTTGGCTCCGGGCATTCAGAATGTGGCCCGGGAATGGAGTTCTGGGAGGTCGAAGGCCACGAAGTGGCCTACAGTTGGCTCCGGGCATTCAAAATGTGGCCCGGGAATGGAGTTCTGGGAAGTCGAAGAGCACGAAGTGGCCTACAGTTGGCTCCGGGCATTCAGAATGTGGCCCGGGAACGGAGTTCTGGGAAGTCGAAGAGCACGAAGTGTTTGACTGTTTGCGAAAAACGAATTCGGACCCAGCTCCCCGGATGCCGCCCGGACCCCCCTGTGGAGTCATCTGCTGCTCTCTTTCGACCCTTCTAGAAACCTATCAGTCTTCGCTGCTAGGTAAAAAGCACTGCTTTTTCAGCTGTGAATAGCGGGACTGGCTGAGCCAGGCGAGATGCAGCCAGTTATGCCCGACTCAGCGCAGCAGAATTGGAACATCACGCCCCCGACTCTGTTCGGCTCCGTCGCTTCCAGCGCTGCCTCGCCAGCGCCCTCCCCGTGTGGCCCGCCCTCTCGCCCCGAGAAGGGCAAGAAAAAGCCCTGCCCCCACCCCCCTCTGGTGGCCCGCCTCCGCCTCCGTCTCCGCCCCTGCCGTTGGCGACAATGGCCGAAGGGTCAGGGTTCCGTGGATGTGCACACTGTTTGCAGAGTGATGGCCAAGTGTTGGACTCACCAAACCACTGATGATAATGAAGTGTGCCCGAGGTAACGTAAAGCTAAGACGGGGTTCGATGCAGACCTCAGGGGCCAGTCTTCTCTGGATGGAACGCATGGACCATTCCAGCATCCGCATAGTGTGTCAAAGGTGTGGCTCTTACACTGAACTTCAGTTCCAGAGGTCCCTAAAGAGTCTGCAAAAAGACCCCACCCCAGGCAGCAGGACTACGGTCAAAACGCCACATATAGCGTGCACGACCCCCCTTGAGGGACAAAAAACGTGGCGGGAGGAGACAGATGAGTGCCGTTTTGTTCAGCAGCACGCGAAACATTCAGCGTTGCCTGCGCCATGCCGCTGCGACGGTCCAAAGAGTCGGACCGGCTTGTATGAGGCGAGCGAGACCGAGCTCGCCAGCTAGCTTCTCCGCCTCTTTCCTGCACCTTTCAGTGCAGGAGCCGAACTTCCGCCAGCGCGCCGCCCAGAGGTGGCGAGATCTAGTCTGAGCCTGAGCCCCCCAGCAACCCACGAAAGTGGCGACGGTTTCGCAAATCGCAGCCCCTCAAGGATGGCGAGGTCTGATCTGAGTCTGGGTACTGCCTCACTCCGCTAGACCCCTCGGCAGCCCTCGACAACAGCGACACTTTCGCGGATCGCAGCCACCCACCTGGAGGCTAACGAGGGCAAGCCAAGTAAACGCAGAAAAGAAGAAGAGGAGTGAAGAGAGGCGAAGGAGGAGGAGGAGGAGGAGGAGGAGGAGGAGGGAGGGCAAAAGAGGCAAAAGAGGAGAGGAGGTGGGAAGAGAGGAAGAGGGAGGCGGGAGGAGAAGGAGGTCTCGACCGCAATGCTATATTCAAAACGAGAGCCCAATGCAGGAGGGTCGGGAACAATCTCGAGGACAGGCAGGCAGAGGCGGGCAGGGGGAGCAGTGCGAGGGCACCAGAGAGGGCACACCGCGCCGAGAGCACTGTTCGACCGATCTGGGGCCCCCCCGCCCGTGGCCGAGGGAGGAGCGACCCATAACGGGGCAACCAGGGCGGCAACACGCCGAAACGACGGCGTGGAGAGTTCGGCTCGGACACGAAGCGTGCAACCGCCGCCTGCTCCGGGCCCAGGCAGGCCCACTCCCTGACGGCGTGGAAGAGACCAGGAAACCGAGAGCGGATGGCGTGGAGAGCACGAACGTGCCAACAACCCCAGGAGGCAAAAAAACCAAAGCGAAGGCGCAGATTTGCGCAGGGACCGACCGTCCCGGCATTTCTGTAGCCCTACCACGAAATCTTCTGAGAATCCGAAAATGATCTAAGAACAAAGACAATGTTCTTAGAACATAAATCCGATGTATTAAAACAAGACAGCCCCAGCCAAAAATGTTCTAAGAACATTTCGTGGGAACCACAAAAGGTTCTTAGAACATTATCTCGTAAGGCTATAGGCGAGCCAGGACCCTTCGCCACCTGCTTGACAAATGGACGCGAGAGACGCAACGAAACAGCACGCACGAGGCCCGGGCACGGAGCGAGCGAAGAAGCGAAGGGTTGCGCGGGCCCGGCGTGCCCAGGACGAGCGGGCCCGGCCGCCACCCCAGCCGCTGGGGACACCAGGCGCGCCTCCTGCATGTCGGCCTTTGCGCCCAGCCGGCCCCGGGTTGGCGCGTGCCCTCAAGCATCAAAGGTTATGTCCGGCTTAATCCCCCTACAGGGGGATTTTCGACGAAAAACAAAAATACCCCCAAAATACCCAAGAAGATCAAAAAATACCCTAAAAATAATCCCCAGACTATTTTTTTACTATTTTTTTGATATTTTGGGTGTGTTTTCTGTTTCTCGTCGAAAATCCCCCTGTAGGGGGACAGGCCCGACCTAAATCAAAGGGTTGGAAAGCCTTGCCCGAGTGCCAAACGATCCCGGGCGCGCCGCGAAGGGCGGACCGTCGGGCGGCCCTCCGCCAAGTGCACCCAGGGGACCCCCGGCGCGCCCGCGCGGCGCGCCTGCCGGGTCGTCCTCGCCGCTCACCGGAGGGGCACGGGGAGCGATGGCCGCCACGTCTGCGACCCGAGGCTGCAGGAAGGGCCGCCAGGAACGTCGTCGGCCACGGCGGCGGGGCGGGCGGCGCGCGCCGTTCGCCCACGGTTCCCCGTGCTGTTCCCCCGGGTCTGCTGGCGGCCGGTGGCCCTCCGACGCCCCGCGCCCGCCTGCCCCGCACTCAGGATGCTCGCAAGGGGGGCCGCCTGCGTGCACAACTCTGCGAGCACGGTGGTCCGCGCCGTTATCTCCGCCGCGGAAAGCCGCGCCAGCTGGCTCCAGCGGCACGGGCGGGGCGCACTCTCAAAGGCGGCCCAAGGCCGGAGCATCACTAGGGTGGCGAAGAACCGAACCAGACGGGTCTGCAAGCACGCCAGCAACATCACCCCCTTGGGCATGGGTGTTCAGCACGAGGGGGGCGGCAGACACAAGGAGGTTGCAAGGTGGAGAGGAGGAAGGATTCGACGCCTGCATCCAGAGCAACAAGCCTCAGGTTCGCGCCCCGAACCGACGGCAAGGATGCTGGCGTCGGTGGTCCGCACTGTGCTGGCGACGACGCTGGCGTCGTCGCTCCCGGTAGCGCCGCGGCCGGCCGGAGCACGCACCTCGAGCGTCGGTACTCCGAGCTGCGTCGGCGAGAATGCTGGCTGGTGATCAGCACCAAACCGGCGAGGATGCCGACGTCGGCGCCCCCGGCTGCGATGTCGCGGATGCTGGCGTTGTTGCCCCCGACTGCCCCGACGGGAATGCCAGCGCGGGCGTTCCCAGCACTGCCCGCGATCGTGCTGGCGCTGGTGGTCCGCGCTCTGCTGGAAATGAAGCTGGCGTCCTTGTTCCTGGGCGTGCTGGCGGGGATGCTGGCGTCGGTGATCCGCGCTGTACTGGCGAATATCCTGGCGTTGGTGAACCGCGCTGTGCTGGTCGGATGCTGGCGTCGGTGATCCGCGCTGCGCTGGCGAGGATGCTGGCATTGGTGTTCCCGTTTGCGCTGGCGAGGATGCTGGCATTGGTGCTCGCGGCAACACATCAGAAGATTCGGCCCGCGGTGATCCGCGCAACGCTGGCGAATCTGCTGGCGTCGGTGATTCGCACTGTGCAAAAGAGGCTGCTGGCATTGATGCCCCTGGCTGTGGTGGCGAGGATGCTAGCGCCGAAGTTCCCGGCAGCGCTGGCAGCGCCAGCGGCACACGCGGCGCCAGCAGCGCCACTGGCACCCGCGGCGCCCGCGGCGCTCGCGGCGCCCGCGGCGCCCGCGGCGCCCGCGGCGCCCGCGGCGCCCGCGGCGCCAGCGACGCGCGCGGCACGCGCGTTGCCCGTAACGCCGGCAAGGCGGACCGAGGCGGCCGCCCGCTGCTGCCGCCGCCGTGCCGCCGCGGTTTCCATAGCGCCGCGGCTGGAGCACGCACTTCAGCCAGGGGCGTGCTCGCGCCGAGACGGCTTGAGCCAAAGACTATGATTTTTTCTTACACTCAGGACGTCATCATTTGGAATCCCATGTGGTTTTGCCCCATCGGACCATTTTCTTTGTTTCGAGACAATGCTCCCACTGCATCGCTGGTCTCACTCAAAGAACCTCGCTTGGCTCCCGTCGTTCAGCGAGGCGTTCTCACACCAGCGCGGGCCAAATCTCTAGATCCGAGCCACTTCATGTCGTTGTCGCGTCCCTCCTATCCTCTCATCCACCTTCCCCTGGTCCTCCTGTTCCTCCCGCTTCTCCTGGTCCTACGTACTCCTTCTGATTATCCTCCTCCTCCTCCTCCTCCTCCTCCTCCTTCTCATCCTGATCCTCTTCCCTCCTTCCTCCTTCCTCATCTTCATAATCTTCCTCCTGCTCATCCTCCTGCTCATCCTCCACCTCCTCCTCCTCCTCCTCCTCCTCTTCATCATCCCATGTACCCAGCTCCCCTGTCTGCTTGCGCATGACACGATGGCGTCATTTGGAAGGTTCCAGGTCCACAGTGGCACCCGTCGGCGGATAGAGAAAAAACGGCACGATGGGAAGGAATGGGTTGATGGGGGTAGGATGTCAAATATGGCGCTGACGCACCCAGTTTGTCGTTCTCCCCCATCTCCCCACGTCCCGTCCCCCTGTCATCCTCACCCTCATCATCGCCCCCGGCTCTGCGGACCCTTCGTCGCGATCACCGCCAGGGCTTCTGGGCTCCAAGCCCGCGTTGGCCTTCTTGCGCTTGGCGCCGTCGTACTTGAGGTCCGTGCGAGCCTTCTTGAGCTTCTTGTAAGCGGACGCCTCCTGTGGAGCGCAGCGGACGCGCGATTCGCTCGCTCCGAGGAGTGAGGATGCTGATGATGATGATGATGATGATGATGATGATGATGATGATGATGATGATGATGATGATGATGATGATGATGATGATGATGATGATGATGATGATGATGATGATGATGATGATGATGATGATGATGATGATGCGATGATGATGATGATGATGATGATGATGATGATGATGATGATGATGATGATGATGATGATGATGATGATGATGATGATGATGATGATGATGATGATGATGATGATGATGATGATGATGATGATACTGATGCTGATGCTGATGCTGATGCTGATGATGATGCTGATGATGACGACGATGATGATGACGATGTTTATGATGAAGATGTTGATGGTGATGATGGTGGTGATGATAATGTTTATGATGATAATGATGACGACGATGAAGAAGGACGAGGCGCGACGAGAGAATAGAAGCTGCGGAGGGCAATTCCGGAGGAGAGGGGTAATGACCAGATGAATCAAACAAGATGTTTGTCAGAGTGGGCCCCAAACAATATGAAGCTGTAATGTGGATGTGCAAGCTACGCGGTGAAGTTATGTGATGTCAGCAATGCGGTGCAAGCTGTCTGGTGCAAGACAGGTGGTACAACCTACGTGGTGCAAGATATGTGGTGCAAGCTATGTGGTGTCAACTATGCGGTGCAAGATCTGTGTTGAACGCTATGTGGTGCAACCTATGCGGTAAAATCCGTCATCGTGCCTTGTGCACGGCGAAGCTCGGAGTAATGCCAAGAGCTGCCTGGTAGGGCCCCCCATCCCTTACCCGCGTTCCCTGCATGTCGCACCCCCCCTCCCGAGGCCACGACCCCCCATCAAAAACCATGGATCCGAGCTCCCGAGGCCACGATCCCTAGTTGAAAACGCCTGTTCCGCGTGCTCAGCTTCCAAGACAGCCCATGCGGGCAACCAAGGACACCAAGATAACCCAAGATGCCTCAGAACAGCCAAAGATGGCCCCAAGGCGGCTCGGTATGGCCTGGAGAAGGCCCAGGATGTTTCTAGGATGGCCCAGAAAGGCCACAAGAGGACATCCAACAGAACCCGAAGCAGCCAAAACCATTAATCTCCCGTATTGTGTGCGTGCCAAGTGTTCGCATTCTCTCCGTGTCAGGCTTTCGTCAGCTCAAGACGGCTCAAAAAGCATCCACGATGGCCCCGAGACGGCCCAAGAGGCCCCCAAGAGGGTCCCAAGATGGCCCAAAGAGGTCCCACGATAGCCCAAGAGGCATCCCAGACGGCCCGAAGGCAGCCTTAGAGGGCCTCCCTTAAGAACCAAGACGGCATGAGGAGGCCTTCCGACGGCCCAAAACGGCCCCACGACGGCCCCAAACACCCACCGTACGGCCAGGAGTGTCCCAAGACCGCCCAGGCGAGCCCCAAGACGGCGTAAGAGGATCCCAAGACGACCCAAGAGGACCTCAAAGGACCCTCAAGACTGCCCCACAGGGGAACAAGACAGCCCCAATACGGCCCAAACGAGTTGTATGAGAGCTCGAAGACGAAAGGTGTAACATGTGACGGCCGTCCTCGTCAGCCTTCTCCTCCTCCTCGTCCTCCTCCTCCTCCTCCTCCTCCTCCTCTTCCATCTCCTCCTCCTCTTCCTCCTCCTCCTCCTCCTCATCATCCGCCTCATCGTCATCATCATCAGCATCATCATGGTCATCAGCAGTAGCAACATTTTCATCAGCATCAGCATCAGCATCATCAGCATCATCAACATCAACATCACCATCATCAGTATCATCAGTAGCATCGGCATCATCATCAGCATCATCAACATCGTCATCATCGTCATCAACATCATCATGACCATCATCCTCATCAACCTCATCAACAGAATCAGCAGCATCCTAATCAGCATCGTCACCATCACCACCAGCATGGTTTTGTTCATGAGCATGAGCATGAGCATCATCATCATCATCAGCAGCAGCAGCATCAGCGTCAGCATCAGCATCAACATCATCAGCATCATCAGCATACTGAGCATCCGCATACTCAGCATCATCAGCATGATCATCGTCATCATCATCAGCAGCAGCAGGTGCAGTGTCACCATGCTCATAATCATCAGTATCATCATTAACGGCAGAATCCTTATTAGCAGCAGCAGCAGCAGCAGCATCGTCATCATCAGCAGCAGCAAGCGCTGCTGCTGGCACTGCTGTTGCCCCGTCAGCATCAGCATCGTCCGCAGCATCAGCATCATCGCCATCAGCAGCAAAATCATCATCCTCAACACCATCATCATCATCATCATCATCATCATCATCATCATCAGCATCATCATCATCAGCATCAGCATCAGCATCATCATCATCAGTATCATCGTCATCCTCATTGCCGTCGTCGTCATAATCATCAGCAGCAGCAGCAGCAACAGCATCAGCATCAGCATCAGCATCAGTGCCATCATCATCATCATCATCATCATCATCATCATCAACACCATCCTCAGAAGCAGCATCATCGCCATTGTCGTCATCAGCATCAACGTCATCAACATCAGCACCAGCATCATCATCAGCAGCATCATCATCATTATCAGCAGCAACAGCATAATCATCATCAGCATCAGCATCAACATCGTCCTCATAATCGTCAACAACGTCATCATCATCATCAGCATCGTCCGCATCATCAGCATCACCGGCATCAGCAGCATAATCATCATCATCATCAGCATCATCATCACCATAATCATCATCAGCATCAGCATCATCATCATCATCATCATCATCATCATCATCATCGTCATCATCATCGTCGCCGTCGTCATAATCATCAGCAGCAACAGCATCAGCGTCAGCATCAGCATCATCAGCATCATCAGCATCATCAGCACCATCCTCAGCAGCAGCATCATCGTCGGCAGCATCATCATCGTCATCAGCATCAACAGCATCACCATCAGCACCAGCGTCATCATCAGCAGCATCATCAGTATCAGCAGCAGCAGCATCATCATCAGCATCAGCACCAGCATCGTCCGCATGATCGTCGACTGCGTCATCATCATCGTCACCATCAGCATCGTCATCATCATCATCATCAGCATCATCATCATCATTATCATCGTCACCCTGATCGCAATCGCCAAAACCATTATCAGCATCAGCATCATCATTAGCAGCATCATCATCGTCATCATCATCAGCAGCATCGTCATCGTCGTCGTCGTCAACCTCCTCCTCCTCCTACTCCTTCTCCTCATCATCTGTATCAGCATAATCAGCATCGTCATCATCATCAGCATCATCATCCTCACTAGTGTCGCCAACATCGTCATCGTATGCAACAACATCAACACAATCAGCTGACGATTGCTCGCTCATATTTGCTAGCGTATCCTTCGATATGTAAACCCCAACCCTTCGATACCCACCCTCTTCGTCTTCGATCGTGCCCCCTTTGGGAATAAACCTTCCTTATCGCCATGTGTAGATGACGCATCCCCTAACACGGGGGAAGGGAGTGAGGAGGGAAGGGACAAGGGGGAGGGAGAAGCATGGAGCACAGCTTGGTCGAGCTGGCGGGTCGCTGAGGCGTCAGTCCGCCTGAATCGCGAGGATGTCTCGAGCGATGCGCGATTCCCAAGTAAATCGTCAGGAAATCCGAAGCGAGAGCGTCACTCCTGAGTCTCGGGGGCACTGCGTTTGCGCGAGGAATTCCCACGCGAGAGCACGAGTCCTGGATAATGTGTGAGGAAGTCCAGCGCGAGAGCGCGATTTTGAATAAATCGCGAAGAAGTATCAGGCGGGAAAACAATACATTATGAGCCCCAAGACCGTCCCTTGTAAAAAACAGG